ACCACCATTTGTCCCAGTTATTCCACTCCTCAGTCTTTACCCAAAGGATTTATAATCAGCATTCTACAGTGACACAGCCACATCAATGTTTATAGTAGCTTAATTCACGATAGCAAAGCTATGGAACCAACCTAGGTGCCCTTTGACCGATGAATAGATAAAAGAAAGTGTAGTATATAGACACAATGGAATATTACTCAGCCATAAAGGAAAATGAAATTATGGCATTTGCTGGTAAATGGATGAAACTGGAGACTATCATATTAAGTGAAATAAGCCAATCCCCCCAAAAACAAAGGCTGAATATTCTCTTTGATATGTGAATGCTAACCCATAACAAGGGAGGGGAATATTAGAAGTTCATTAGGCTAGACAAAGGGGAACGAAGGGAAGCAGGACTGTGATTAGGAATGACAGTAGAATGATTTAGACATAACTTTCCTGTGTACACATATGAATACATGACCAGTGAAATTCCATATTATGTATAACCTCCTAATTAGAATAAGTTATCCATGTATGTATAATATGTCCAAATATACTTTACTATTGTATATATCTAAAAATAACAAATAAAAAGATTAATTTTTAAGATTGTTTATTTGTAAAGACTATTTTAAAAATAAATAATTACAGATTGCTTTGATTTATCTCTAGGCATTCTGGGTTCTTCTATACAAGCTCTTACATTTTCAAAATACTATATTGAAACATTAATATCCAGAAAGCACTTAATTTCATATCTCTATCCTAATGAAATAATTTATGCAATATTAAGTTCTGTTAACTTTTTATCATAGAGACTAGTTTATCTTGATTTATAATAATTACTAATTTTAAGAATTTTTAAAAATTATTTTAAATTATAAAAATAATATTTTATTCAAATGGAGCACAACTTTTTCATTTCTCTGGTTGTACATGGTATAGAGTCTCACCATTTGTGCAATCTTTTTTTTTTTTTAAGATTGAGCCACATCCCCAGCCCCATTTGTGCAGTCATACGCATTCATAGGGTAATAATGTCCATCTCATTCCAACATCTTTCTCCACCTCACCCTTTCTCTCCCCTCCCTCCCCACTGCTCAATCCGAAGTTCCTCCATTTTTCCCTTGCTCCCTCACCCAATTATAGATTAGCATTCACTTATAAGTGAAAACATTTGGCCTTTGTTTTTTGGGGACTGGCTTACTTGCCTTAGCATAACATTCTCCAACTCTGTTCATTTACTTGTAGATGCCATAATTATTCCATTCTTTTTTAAGGCTGAGTAATATTCCATTGTGTATATATACCCCAGTTTCTTTATCCATTCATCTATTGAAGGGGTGTCTAAGTAGTTTCCACAGTGTAGCTACTATGAATTGAATGATTACTAATTTTGATCTCTTTGTTGTGAAAATTAATATTCTCTATAAAAAACTATTTCAACAAATAGAGGGAATACAAATATTAACACAAATTTATTTGTATATCTTTTAAAGGACATTGTATGACAGATTCATAAGCTAAAGGGGGTTTTTAAAAAATTAAAAAGGATCTAATGATCTTAATATAAAAGAAGACCTGAAAACTATTGCTTTGTTTGGGGGCTTAATTTTGTAGCATACTGTTTCCTGTGTACTCTTCGCCACAGGTAAAGCTTGTTTAGCTTCTTAAACAACCCAAATACTTTTTTTTTCATGGCAAAGGAAGTTCTTTGATGTATTATTTTCTTCAAAGAAGCCGTGCAAATTATCCAACATACCTAAATAGCTCCTGAATACCAAGGAAATTCTACCACTACTGAACATACAATTGACTACAGTATAAAACAAACAATGGCCAGGGCTTCTGGTTAAGACGACAACCCAAATAATTTTCCCTTTGAGCATTTATAGTCTTTAATCATAATTGTCTATTGTGCTTTTTATTGCTGTGGTTATTTAAGATAAGTATTTAGAGAATTTCATGATACACTGTGTTTTTTGCTGTATCTCCCTGAGAAAAGAGTATGTGTTTTACAGACTTTATTTTGTGTTTACCTTTAACCTTGTAGGTTACCTTGTAGGATAACATAAAACTGGGCTCACCGTAGATGTTCAAAGAATATTTGTTGATTGGTTAATATTATCATCTTATATACAAGGAAAAAAATACTGGTATGAAATTACTTCCAAAAATTACTAATGGTTTCTATATTAGTCTTTTTCTCTCTTTTTAGCTCCTCTTTTTTTTCTTTTTAAAATTTATTTCTTACATACATGACAATAGTGGAGTGCATTACATTCATAATTATCCATTCACAGCACAATTTTTATAACTCTGTATATAAAGTATGTTCACACCAAATTATGCCATTATACATTAGATCTCTTATTTTTTGCATACAATTTTTAATACATCTTTATACCATCATTTATCATATCTCTGTTTGTATATAAGGTATGTTGACACCAAATTCACATCTTCATACTTATATATTGTATAATGATGAGGGTCTCTTTCCACCATTCATGCTATCCTCCTTCTCCCTCCCTTTCCCTCCAACCCCTGTTGCCTATCTAGAGGTAATTTTCCTCCCATGCTCTCCCTCCCTACTCCATTTTGAGTCACCCCTCTTATATCAGAGAAAACATTCAACTTTTGTTTTTTTTTTTAATTTGGCTAACTTCACTTAGCGTAATCTGCTCCAATGCCATCTGTTTCCCTGCAAATGACATGGTTTTATTCTTTTTTAGTGCTGAGTAATATTCCATTCAGGCCTTTTTTTTTTATCCATTCATCCACTGAAGGACATCTAGGTTGGTTCCACAGTTTAGCTATTGTAAATTGTGCTGCTATAAACATTGATGTGGCTGTGTCCCTGTAGTACGGTCCTTTGGGTATAGTCCAAGAAGAGGAATAGCTGGGTCAAATGGTGGTTCCATTCCCAGCTTTCCAAGGAATCTCCATACTGCTTTCCAAATTGGTTGCACTAATTTGCAGTCCCACCAGCAATGTATGAGTATACCTTTTTCCCCACATCTTCACCAATACTTGTTGTTTGTCTTCATAATGGCTGCCATTCTTACTGGAGTGAGATGGTATCTTAGAGTAGTTTTGATTTACATTTCTCTGATTGCTAGAGATGATGAGCATTTTTTTGTATATTTGTTGATTGATTGTATATCCTCTTCTGAGAAGTATCTGTTCAGGTCCTTTGCCCATTTATTGATTGGATTATTTGGCTTTTTTTTGGTGCTAATCTTGTTGAGCTCCTTATATACCCTAGAGATTAGTGTTCTATCTGATGTATGAGGGGTAAAAGTTTGTTCCCAGGATGTAGGCTCCCTGTTCACCTCACAGATTATTTCTTTTGCTGAGAAAAAACTTTTTAGTTTGAATTCATCCCATTTATTGATTCTTGGTTTCAATTCTTGTGCTATAGGTGTCTTATTAAGGAAGTTGGGGCCTAGCCCCACATGATGAAGATTAGGTCCTACTTTTTCTTCTATTGGACACAGAGTTCCTGGTTTAATTCCTAGATCCTTGATCCATTTTGAGTTAACTTTTGTGCATGGTGAGAGATAGAGATTTAATTTCATTTTGTTGCATATGGATTTCCAGTTTTCCCAGCATCATTTGTTGTAGATGCTATCCTTTCTCCAGTGCATGATTTTGGCACCTTTGTCTAATATAAGATAGTTGTCTATTTGTGGGTTAATCTCTGTGTCCTTTATTCTGTACCATTGGTCTACCATCCTGTTTTGGTGCCAGTACCATGCTGTTTTTGTTACTATTGCTCTGGAGTATAGTTTAAGGTTGAATATAGTGATACCGCTTGTTTCACTCTTCCTGCTTAGAATTGCTTTAGCTGTTCTGGGTCTCTTTAAACAATATACCTGAATATTGTCTAAAAAAGTTGATTTAGCTTATGGTTTTAGAGGCGGAAAGTCTAACCCCATCTGGTTTGGCTTCTGGTGAGGACTCTCTTAGCTCTGTCACATCATGACAAATGGCATTGTGGTGGAAGGATGCATGAGAAAGCAATCACATGGAGATACAGGGCTCAAGAGAGCCAATCTTGGTGTTTTGTAACAACCCTTATGAAAATTACCCAGAATTCCATGAGAAGTATACTAATTCTTTCTGAGGACAGCACCCCTAATGAACTAATCACATTCCACTGGACCTCACCTTTTAAAGGTTCCATATAACCTTCCACTAGGCTTTACCTTTTAAAGGTTCCGCTACTTCTTAGCATTGCCACATGGGGACTAAGCTTCCAACAAACGTGAATGCTTGAGAGACATGCTTAAACTGTATCCATACCATAGTAATTCCCTTTCCTTTATAACGCTCAGGAATTTACTGTTATTTATATACTGCCTGAAATGTTTAAGTAGTTTAATGATTTCAGGTCATGTTATAGTCAAATTTTTGTTGTTGTTAAACATAGGAGTGTGACCTTCCCATTTAGGAGAACATATTGTAAATTAGATTTATTTTTAAAACAATATGACTAAAGAGTAATAAGATAGTAAGGTACTAAGAAGTTTTTAATACTAAATAGTATCGATACTTCTTACCACTATTGGGATTCCAATTTTAAAATGTTTAGTAGTTTATAAGTGAAATTCATTTGTTTACATAAGATAGGAACTCAGAAATGAATGTGGTCCCTATTTTAAGAAATCAAGTTTAAGCTCAGTCAATAGGCAACTAAAATATTTCTCACTTTATTTTTACAAAGGAAGTTATTTCTGGCATTATATAGATAAAATCTGAAATAATCATTGGGAATTGAGTCTACCTATTTACCAATAACAGTATTTAAATTTGTAGAAGTGAAACTTTTGTAGCATACATTTCTTATTTTCAATAGCCTTAATTTAAAAAATCTTGCAAGAATAAATCATTATGGTTAAGTATTATCTCTTGAAACCTTTGAGTAAAAAGTCATTTATCAATTTCCCAAACCTGAAGAAATGGATATTCACTTTTGTTGTTTTCTTACCTCTCCTTCCCTCCCACCAAAGCAGATTGCCAAACTGAGGCAACAGCTTCAACGTAGTAAACAAAGTAGTCGTCACAGTAAGGAAAAGGATCGGCAATCTCCTCTCCATGGCACCCATATAACAATCAGTCACACTCAGGTAAGCAGAATTCTTCTTGTTTGGATTTGAACAATTCCTTTCAATTCATTGTTAATGGAGAATTAATAATTTGGGGAGTTAAAAAATACAAAGAAACCTTTACTATTGTTTGTTAAATTGCTATAAGATTTTTCAAAAAACTTATTTTTAACCTTTTAATAACAGATATCACAGAATATAGTGGTCTGAAGGCGGATACTGACCTGATGTACTTATTGAACAAGTATGGGCATTTCTTGTTTAATCTTCTTAATAGTTTTTTAACACATGTATTTCTGTATCCCTCCCTATATTTTACCTCTATTTTACTTATGAAGGAATTCAAAGAGTTTTTAAGCCCCCCCCTCAAAAAATGTAGCAAGAAATATATCCCAAGGAAAAAAAATTTAAGAAAGCTGCTCTAGCTCAAATAAATTTACAAATGTTGATGTAAACCACATTGTCAGTTCATCATTTTCTTGAGAAATTAAAAATACGTTGAACAACCCAGAATTTCCACTCTTTGGTATCTATTCACAAGAAATAAAAGCATATATCCACACAAAAACTTGAACATGGATGTTTTGAAGGCATTACTACTAGTAATAAAAACATAGAAACAAATATTAATCACTAGTCAATAGATATTCCAGTCAATAAATAATCCATATCCATACAGTATAATACTACTCCGTAGTGAAACAGAAGGGAGAACTGATCCATGTGATGTGATGGTTGAATATCAAAAACATTATGCTGAGTAAAAGAATTTAAGAGCAAAAAAATTTAGGAGCAAAAATCTACATACTGTATGGTTTGCTATATTCTCAAAAAGACAAAATTATAGAAACAAAGTATTGGAGATGGGAATTAACTGCAGAAAGGTTCTAGGGAATTTGCAGCAGAGGGAGGGATAGAGGTTATAAATGTGGCTATATTGATAATGAGAATGACTATGTTTATCAAAGCTCAACTAATGGCATACTTGAAATGGGGTGATTTTATTATATACTGATAGTACCTCATCAAAGGTATAAAGCAAACAGACAAACCTTAGTCATTTGAAATGAAAATTTATATATGCCTGCCTTTTCTTCTTAATCTGATAAAATTGGCATATTATTCAATTTATTTTAAACACTATCTCTAGGAATATAGTACATTTATGTAAGATTAATTGACTTGTTGATTTAGTGAAAAAACTTACACAATTTTCAAATTTAGTTAAAAATAATTATTTTGAGATTCAAGAAGGTGGATTAGAGGAAAGCTACATTCCTAGTTGCTCCATGGCTCGTGACTCAAGCAGCAGGAGTACTGTTTCTCAGTGAGGTAGGTGAAGGAGGGGTTTCATTAAAACTCAGTATTGGACAGAGTGTCTTAGAGATTCAGAAATTTGGGTATATTAAACAAGAAAGAGACTACCTTGAAGCCAAGCCGGTTGCAGCAGCAGTGGTAGTGGCACTAGTTCAGCACAAAGTGGAGGGAAAACACAGAAAGAAAGTTAATGGAAAGATTTAGTATATAAAAAAATTGAGATTAAACTGCCTTTAACCTGATCCAAAGGCTGCACTATGAACTGGTGCTTGAAAAGTGCCCTGTGTTTCCCAACTGGCCTCAGAGACTGAGCTGGAGCCATTTTGAGGTGGCCACGCTATAGCTCCTGCTGCAGGAGCCAGAAGATCTGAGCTACACTGTCCTGGCAAGTGCCTACCATGTCACCTAGGGTGTAGCTAGCAAAAGAAAGCGAAACAGACACAGAGAATATTTTACCCAGGAGGATTCAAGTCAGAAAAGTGAAGGGGAGCCCAAACCTCTTCCTGCTTTGAGTCTGGAAACTGATGTGACCTGCTGAAGTGGGTTGGGAATCTGAATAGGCCAGTGTGTATATACTTAGGGACTAAGTCCAGGAAGCCTGTGTTCATGGGCAGCAAAGGGATTGAGGTTTGGTTCCCACTCCATGAGTAAAATCCTTCAGAGATTTCTGAGTTCCAGACATGCAGCAGAGATTGGCAGCTGCCAGGGGTATGTTGATTTAATTACCCCAGAGCAAACACCACCCAAAAAAAGCCCCTGAGGCCTGATTAGAACTAAGTCCTACCTGCCGAAACTCCACTCATAGAATTCTGCAGCAGCTATTGAATACGTTTGTCTGGTCTGTGTAGACAAAATTCAATTGACGGTACTTCCCATCCCATGCTACCTCATACTGGGGAGAAGAGAAGCTGCAAGAATTATTTGAACCAGCTTCAGTCTTGGGCCACTCCAAGACTGCTACACAAAAAAGAGGAAGGGGTTAACAATCTCTTAGTATATAGCTCTCAGCCTCTTATTTACCTCAAGTATAAATGGAAAGAAAGATAGTCAGGCGTAGAGGGTGACCATCTATTCTCACCGACTATTTTGACCACCTTGTAGAAATGATGCCTTCCTTTTTCATTAAGAATGTCTTTCTTTCTTTTTTTTTTGGTGTGTGTGTGTGTGTGTGTATGTGTGTGTGTTTGCTGTGCTGAGGGTTAATGGACACATATGCATATTTGTTTCTTTTTTTCCCCATTTTAGTTATTTTTAAATGTAGCTATTTTTTCTTGTCGACGTCGACAGTGTTCCTTGTTCCACACAAAAATTCATGACATTTAATCTTCAGCTATACTTCAATGCAAAGAATAAGAGACAAAAATCTAATCTAACAACCAAGCCCCCAAGCAGAAAGGATTAGATGTGGCCCCCAGGTACCTCTAGGGACATCCATTGCTATAGCAAAAACAGAAATAACAGAAAAACTGCAGATACCACACCTATAAGGTGGCCTCAATCTAGATCACTCTAGGAAATTTTAGTGAGTAAAGATTGTATCCTAAAAAGGCTCAAACATAAGAATGGAAGAAAAATCTCTTCTAACAGATGCATAAAATCCACTACAGGAATACAAAAAATATGGAAAAACAAGCTAATACAACACCTGCTAAAATTTATGATTCTCAAGTTGATGACCCCAAAAGTATTGAGTGCAATTATCAGATAAGGAATTCAAAGGAATTATTATAAAAATACTCAGTGAATTCCAAGGAAACACAGAAAACCAACTGAGTGAATTAGAATATGAATGAGAAATTCAATGAGAAGATAGAAATATTGAAAAAGAGCCAAACAAATCTTAGAAATGGAAGACTCAATAAATCAAAATGTTCATTTGAAAGTCTAATAAAATAGAACATGCTGAAGACAGAATCTCAGAGCTGTAAGACAAAGTGGTCAGCCTTGAACATTCATATAGTAGTAAAGGAAAAAATATACATGATCAGAATATACAAGAACTCTGGGACAACATGAAGAGATCACTGGAATTGAGGAGGGCTGTGAGATGTGGGCTAATGGAATGGATAAACTCTACAGGGAAACAGTAACAGAAACTTTTGCAATCCTTCAGAATGAGATATATATCCAAATATAGGAGGCATTCAGAACACAATAGAAAAGATCAAAAAAGAACCTCTCCACTTCACTTTTTGAAACTGAAAATTCTTTTGTCTTCCTAACACATTGTCTTTCCTCTTAATTACTGTATTTTTACCATCTTTTAGCACTAATTTGCTCTTATAACTTATGTCCCCACCATTAATGTCTCCATAATATATAACATATTATTATAAAATGCCTATCATACAGAATAAGGATAGAATGTTAAAAGCCTCAAGAGAAAAATGTCAAATGGTTTAGAGGCAAGCCAATCAGGGTTACTTCTGATTTCTCAGCACAAACTCTAAAAGCCAGGATTGTTTGGAATGATATGTTCCAAGTCCCAAAAGAAAATATTTGTGAATCAGTATTGCTTTGTCCAGAAAGTTGTCCTTCAAAATCAAAAGGGAATTCCTAAAAGAAAATGCAACTCCTAAAAGAAAATGTTGTAGGACCAGCACTCCAACTTTTAGGCATAGACAATGACTTTTCTCAATAGGAGCCCTAAGGCTCAATAAATAACACTAAGAGTTAATAAACAGGACAGCATCAAATAAAAAGCGTCCTGACAGCAAAGGAAACATTAGGAATATAAAGAGAAATCACTGAATGGGAAAAAAAATCTATTCTAGCTGTTCTTCTAATAAGACTAATGTCTAGAATATATTTTAAAGAGCTTAAAAATTTTTAGACTGAAAATCAAATAACTGAATTAATAAATGGGTGAATGAATTAAATAGACAACTTTTCAAAAGAAGAAATACATGAAAAAATGTTCAACATCATTAGCAATTGGGGAAATGCAAATCAAAAACTACACTGAGATCTCACACCAGTCAGAATGTCAGTCATCAAGAAAAAATAATAATGCTCGAGAGGATGTGGAGAAAAAGGAACTCTTTTAGGCACTATTGGAAGTCTGTATTGAGGATCCTCAAAAGACTAGGCATGGAACCACCAGATGACCCAGCTATACCACTCCTTGGTATTTATCTTCAAGAATAAAAGTCATCTTACTACAGTAAGGAGGGCATACCCGTGTTTATAGTGGCACAATTAACAATAGCCAAACTGTGGAATCAGCCTAGGTTTTCATTGACAGATGAATGGATAAAGACAATACACCATGGAATTTTATTCATCCATAAAGACAAATGAAATTATGATATTTGCAAGAAAATGGATGGAACTAGAGACCATGATATTAAGCAAAATAAATCTAGCTCTGAAGATCAAGCATTGTACAAATATGAAACAACAAATCCCATCAATATGTATAACTATAATTCACCCTCAAAACCAATAAAAATGTGGGAAAAATTATCTTTTGATACATAAGTATTTTTTAGTTACATATGAAATCTAGAATATGCTTTAAAGTACTTAAAGAACAGCAGCCCAAAAAAAGGTGTTTAGATTAAATTGTCAGATGTTGATACTATTTGAAGCTGGTTGATACATTCCTAAGGGCTTATGCCATTCTATCTAATTTTGTTTATGTTTGGAATTTTGCTTAATAAAAAAGGGGGGAAATTGAAATTTAGTGAGATGACTAGCCAAAGTGTAAAGAGAAAAATTTTGTTAGTTTTTTTTTGCAGTAGCAATAATGTTAAATATAATGAAAAAATATAAAATTAAACTTAAAAGAAATATGCAGAATATATATATCTTTATTGAGTGCATGAAAAATAAAAGAGAGATATAAATGGGAAGTCTTCACATACTAATGGATGGGAAGATAATATAAAAGACAGAGCTCATGAATGGGCACCAGTTCACAAATGGTAGGTAGGAGCATAGCACTGAGTATGGGAAACACTCATGCTGACCAGCAACTGGAAGTCTGCCTCATTACAGATCATATATGTCAATTTTTTAAAAAATTTATTTATTTATTTTTTTTTATTGGTTGTTCACAACATTACAAAGCTCTTGACATATCATATTTCATACATTAGATTGAAGTGGGTTATGAACTCCCAATTTTACCCCAAATGCAGATTGCAGAATCACGTCAGTTGTCAATTTTAATCGTGTAAGCTGAGATCACACATTGTTTTAACCTTTACCTTGTTAATCTGTCTTATTTCCTTCCCATTTTATGATTTCCTTGATCATGGAAAGGATTCATTGACACTTTTTGGTAACCGTTACAACTATCAGAGATGCTTAATTTTGGAGAATGCCGGCAAAAAACATTTGAAAACCTTAAAGTTGTTAAATGAGTGTTGAATTTAGCAATATTATTGCTATATTGCTTAATAATCCAGTAGGTATTCTTTTTTTTAGTTATAGATAGACAGAAATACCTTTATTTATTTTTATGTGGTGTTGAGGACTGAACCCAATGCCTCACACATGGTAGGCAAATGCTATACCAATGAGCCACAATCCCAGCCCCTAGTAGGTTTTCTTAAGTGGTTAACAAAGTGGAAATGAAAAATTATACTAAAAGGTCACTTGTCACTGTATAGGAAATATCTTTTAAGCACACAGATCTGTATGGTGGAGACATATTATAACTTACATGATTTCAACTATACTTTTCCCAATAAAACATTAAAAGAGAAATGAATGAAACTGTGCCGAAGACTGTGTCTGCCATCCTATTGACTCAGTGTTTTCATTCTTCGGTTATTGCTTGCTCTTTGTGTCTGGGTATTTTCAAGGATTATTTTGACTCTTATGTAATTTTTACCTTACTTTAGAACCTAAATTTTTGTACATGTACCTAAATTCTTACTGTTTTTAAAATGTCAAAGTGACACTATTCATGAGTTTTAATTTGAAGGGTTTTTTGTTTGTTTTCTTGGTGGTGCTGATTAAACCAGGGCCTTGCATATACCTGGCAAGAACTCTACTACTGAGTATATCCATAGCTTTTTGATTTTTTAAGATTTACCATTCTTTTTAGTTCTTGATTGCTTTGAATACAAATAATTTGACACTACTTTATCTTTTGTCTCAGGCTACTGGATCAAGGTCAGTTCCTATGCCACTGTCAAATGTATCAATGCCAAAATCGTCTGTTTCACGTGTGCCCTGCAATGTAGAAGGAATAAGTCCTGAATTGGAAAAAGTATTTATTAAGGAAAACAATGGGAAAGAGGAAGTGTCCAAGGTAAGGTTCCATGGGATATTTGAATTCTTTTTTTCTGTAATATTACAAACTATCTCAAAAATACTTTTTTTTGGTAGCAGCTGTTCAGAAAAATAATTTACATACCATATAATTTACTCAGTACACAATTCAGTAGTTCACAGAGTTGTGCAAACCATCACCAACATCAGTGCACTTCCATCACCCCAGGAAAAAGCTTCATACTCTTTGGCAGTAACCTCTTATTTCTAACACTCAAGGCTCTAGGTAACCACTAATCTTCTCCCTGGGTCTATGAATTTTCCTATTCTAGATACTTCAGAAAAATAGAATCATATAATATGTAGCCTTTTGTAACTGGCTTTTTTCACTTAGCAAAGCATTTCTAAAATTCATCCATGTTTTAGCATATCCAGTATTTTCTTTTTATTGCCCAACATTACTCATTTGTACAGATTTTATTTATCCAGACATAACCCATGCACATTTAAGTTATTTTTGGTTTTCGGCTATTATGAATAATGCTGCTATGAACATTTCTATAGAAATTTTCATGTTAGCATTTTTTCATTTCTCTTGAGTGTATACCTAGGATTGGAATTGCAAATATGGTAACTTACATTTAGCCTTTTGGAGAACTGCCAGACTTTTTCAAAGTGTCTACAACATTTGACATTCCCATCAGCAGTGTATGAGGGTTATTGTTTCTCTACATCCTTGCCAGTGATTGTAATTATCTGTCTTTTTTTTATTATAGCCATTGTAGTAGCATCTCATTATCATATTGAATTGCGTTTCCTAATGGCTAATGATGTTAAGCATTTTTTCACGAATTATTGGTGACTTCTATATCTTATTTGGAGAAATTTTTATTTAGACCCTTTTCTCTGTTTACAAATTCGGATTCTTTTGTTTATTACTGAGTTGTAAAAGTACTTTATGAAGATTTTTATTTTCTAGAGACAAGCATCTTATAAGATATATCATTTGCAAATACTATGTCCTATATTCCATCACTTGTCTTTTCATTTTCTTTATTATGTTCTTCGAAGAACATTTCTATTTTTAATAAAAAGTCATTTATTTATTTTTCTTATACTTTCAGTATCAAAGCTAATAAACCACTGTTCAATCCAATGTTGTAATGATTTACTTTTGTGCTGCCTTCTGACTTTTATGGTTTTAGTTCTCTCTTACATTTAGGCCTTGGATCCATTTTGAATTAATCAAAAATACTTTGTAAAATGCCACCTCAATCCCAGAAATGAAATCTGGACACTATTGCATGTGAACCTTCTATTTGGTCATATTTTAAAAAATGTTTTATTAGTGCATGATGATTTGTACACAATATGGAATTTGTTGTAAATATCCATATATGCACATAGTTTGCTCTGTTTCTTTCTCCAGTACTTCCCCTCCCCCTTTTCTACTCTCTTTCCCTGTTTTCCTTCCTCTACACTTCTGAGCTTTCTTCTATTTATTCAAACTTTTTTATTAGTGCATTATAATTATACATAAAAGTGGTATTTATTTTGACAAATGGTCATTTTTATTCCCCAGTTCTTCCCCTTTTTCTTTCTTTTTCCCTCCTTCTTGAACTTACCTCTACTCTACTGATCTCCCTTCTATTTTGATGAAATTCCCCTTTTTTCTTCCTTTTTTTCTAATGAGCTTCAACATATGAGAGAAAACATTCAGCCCTTGACTTCCTGAGTCTGGTTTATTTTACTTAGCATGATATTCTCCAGTTCCACCCATTTAACAGCAAATGGCAAAACTTCATTCTTTTTTGTGGCTAAATAAAACTCCATTGTGTATATATGCTGCATTTTCTTATTCACTCATCTATTGATAAATGCTTAGTCTGGTTCCATAACTTGTTCCATACTGGTTTCATAACTATTATAAATTGTGCTGTTATAAGTATTGGAATGCATGTTATCACTGTGGTGTGCTGATTTCATTTTTTCTATATAAATACTGAGAAGTGGGATAGCTGGGTCATTTGTGATTCCATTCAGAGTCTTTTGAGGGATATCCATATTAATTTCCAAGGTGGATGTACTAATTTGCAGCTCTACCAAAAATTCTATAGATGTTCCTTTATCTCTACATTCTCGCCAGTATTTTTTTTCCTTTTTTTAAAATTTTTTATTGGTTGTTCACAACATTACAAAGCTCTTGACATATTGTATTTCATACATTAGATTGAAGTGGGTTATGAACTCCCAATTTTTACCCCAAATGCAGATTGCAGAATCACGTTGGTTACACATCCACAATTTTACATAATGCCCTATTAGTAACTGTTGTATTCTGCTACCTTTCCTATCCCCTACTATTCCCCCTCCCCTTCCCTCACATCTTCTCTCTCTCCCATCTACTGTAATTCATTTCTCTCCTTGTTTATTTTCCCATTCCCCTTACAACCTCTTATATGTAATTTTGTATAGCAATGAGGGTCTCCCTTCATTTCCATGCATTTTCCCTTTTCTCTCCCTTTCCCTCCCATCTCATGTCTCTGTTTAATGTTAATCTTTTCTTCCTGCTCTTCCTCCCTGCTCTGTTCATAGTTGCTCTCATTATATCAAAAAAGACTTTGGTATTTGTTTTTTAGGGATTGGCTAGCTTCACTAAGCATAATCTGCTCTAGTGCCATCCATTTCCCTGCAAATTCCATGATTTTTGTCATTTTTTAGTGCTGCGTAATATTCCATGGTATATAAATGTCACATTTTTTTTTTATCCATTCATCTGTTGAAGGGCATCTGGGTTGGTTCCACAGTCTAGCTGTTGTGAATTGTGCTGCTATGAACATCGATGTGGCAGTATCCCTGTAGTATGCTCTTTTAAGGTCTTCAGGGAATAGTTCAAGAAGGGCAATAGCTAAATCAAAACCACCCTAAGATACCATCTCACTCCAGTAAGATTGGCAGCCACTATGAAGTCAAACAACAATAAGTGCTGTCGAGGATGTGGAGAAAGGGTACACTTGTACATTGTTGGTGGGACTGCAAATTGGTGCGGCCAATTTGGAAAGCAGTATGGCGATTGCTGGGAAAGCTGGGAATGGAATCGCCAGTATTTTTTATTATTTATACTCTTGAAGGTTATTGAACTAGGATGAGATGAAATCTCAGTATAGTTTAAGTTTGCATTTTCTTGATCACTAATGATGTTGATTATTTTTTCATGTATTTGTTGGCCATTTGCATTTCTCCCTTTGAGAAATGTCTGCTTAGTTCATTTGCACATTTATTGATTGGGTTTTTGGTGTTTTTTGAGTTCTTTATATATTTTGGATATTAATTCTCTGTCAGAAGTGTAACTGGCAAAGATTTTCTCTCATAGGTTCTCTTTTCACTCTCTTGTTTCCTTTGCTATGCAGAAACTTTATATTATGCCATCCCATATATTGCTTATTGATTTTATTTCTTGTGAATTGGTGATATTATTAAGGAAGTTAATGCCTGTGCCCCTATGTCAGAATGTTAACCCTGTGTTTTCTTCTATCAGTTGCACAATTTCCGGTCTAATTCCTAGGTCTAGGTGTTTCTTCCACTTTGAATTGACTTTTGTGCTAGGTGATAGATATACGTCTAATTTCATTCTTCTATAAATAGTTATCTAGTTTCCCCAGCACCATTTGTTAAGACTGACTTTGGCACCTTTGTCAAAGATAAAGATGACAATATCTGTGTGGGTTTATCTCTGTATTCTATGTTAAAATAGTTCTGCTTTCAAATGACTTATATTCTAATTAGGGGTAGACATTTCAGGATTATTTTGGGATAATCTATTTAGTTGTACTAAAATACTAATTTTTAGAAACTTTAGATTCATGACTATACCTTAAAATCTTAATAAATCAAAATGTCTGCCTGTAGCTAAAAATGAAAATTGTCATATTAACTATGCCCATATTCCAAGCCTTCATATTTTCTATTGTTATTTTGTATAAATTTATGGGTTTCTACAATATGTTTTGTTGTTGTAATTCTACCTGCCAAACAAAACAAAAGTTGGTTAAGTAAATTAATATATTTTATTCAGTTATAGACTAAGAAGTGGAAATACAGAGAAATTGTATTTATCAAATAGGACATGAATGAAAAAAACTTCACATTCTTATACTTTTTTAGCTGCAAATTGGTACATTTTTCTTTAACTGATTGCCCACATTGACACTTTGATTACAGTAACATTTTTTTCTGTCATAATTTGACCAATTAAATTAATACTTCTTTGTTTAATTCCTAAATTAGAGAGTTTTACTTTATTTACAAAGAGAACTGACATTTAAATAGTTCAATATTCCCCATACAGTGGAGTAGTCATTTTCAGGTTATAAAGTTGGCATCATTTTTGTTAAGCAACATTACATCAATAAATTGTTTTTATTTCAGTAGTGTCAGGTTTCAGCCTTCACTTGTTTTTTTGCAGAATATATTGCTACATTTTGAATCTTGCCTAGTTTTTACTTTCTTCCATTTCCTCCCTGACCTTGTTTCTGAAATCTCTGAAATGACCAAGGTCAGAGAAAGAACATTTAGACACTGTAGTGAAAATATATTGTAAGTAAACTAATGTTATTTAAGAATTTAACATATAGAATTTTACTTTTTGACTGCACTTTGTTAGAATACAAATGAGGAAAATTGAGTGAGATCTTTTTTTGTAGTAGATGAATAGTAGAATAGAAAGAGTTTACTTAGCAGTACAGATGTCACTTAATAGGCTGTGGCAACAGGAGTTCTGAACTTATTATTTGTAAAAACAAGACATTGGCCTGGCAAGTTTTAAGTGCCTCTAATCCAAAATACATTGTTTTTCTTAAAATACATTTTGGTTTTCTTTTTTATTTCTTCTTTTTACCACTTTAAAACAATGCACTTAGAACTAAGAATTATGATTAGTCATACTTAGTTGGGAACCAAATTAGTAGAATTGTTTTGTGTTAATATCCTTTATTGAATGCTAGCAGAATAAACCTTTCAGAAATCTTGGGTAATTTGCAAAGGAAATAGAAATATGGTTCTATTTTTGGCTTTTAGAAAATTAAAATGAGAATTAGCAAACAGAAAAATTATACCTATGAAGGAGATTTTACTTTTTCTTACTAGCAATTTTTTTTTTACTGTTCATTAAATTCAGCAATTGTTTATTGAATGTTATGTGCATATACTGGGCATTAGGGATACAGTGTTAAACTCCTCCTGTTTTTGAGGAGTATTGTGGGAAGTGCTAACCTTCAAATACATACAGGGAGCCATAGAATTTTCAAGATAAACAGTGTGATTTGAAAGAAATTTTTGGTTCTATAAAACTAACGTGTTTGGCTGTGGTATCTATTGTCTGAAGAATAAATTAATAGTGGTGGAATACAAAATCAGAAATTCTACCATGTGCTTTCTATATAGAGTATACACTATTGTCCTCATGCTAATAATGTTGTTCTTAACAGCCTTTGGACATACCAGATGGTCGAAGAGCTCCACTCCCGGCTCACTATCGAAGCAGTAGTACTCGAAGCATAGATACTCAGACACCTTCTGTGCAGGAGCGCAGCAGTAGTTGCAGCAGTCATTCACCCTGTGTGTCCCCTTTTTGTCCTCCGGAATCCCAGGATGGTAGCCCTTGTTCAACAGAAGATTTGCTTTATGATCGAGATAAAGGTGAGAGTGGAGTAATCCACTTAGATAGAGGGTTTGTTGTAGAGTCTTGTTCGTTATATTGTCTTTGTCTTAGATCACTACATCATTTTTTTTCTTTTGTTGAATGGTGAGACTATAAAAAATTATTTAATCTAGGTTTGATTGTTTGTTGGTTTCATACCCCCTTCTTTGTGACTCAGAAACATCTTCCATAAATGTGTCAGAGAAGCACAGCGCATGGTTCAACAGCTAATGAAGCCTTTTCCTGGCATTTTCCAGAGCTAACGATTGTTATGGTAGAGTATATATATAAAATTAGATCTTATAAATAGTGATTTGGGAGGAAATACTTCCTAAATTTTTTTGAGGAAGTATATTTTTAATCACACAAGTAGATAAATTTAATAATTATCTATAGGATACCAGGACATCATTATTTTATGATATGTGGATAGATTAACTATTGAGAAGCTCTGGAATTTCTACCTCCTTATCTGGTCCAAACTGTGTTCTTGTATTCTTTTTTTCTTCTGTCAGGTACTTGTCTACCACCTGTTACTTGGTTCTTTCCATTTCTGACTCCCTAAAACCTAACTAGACTACCCAGCTGCCACCTTCTAACTACTTTCAAAGAAACACTGAACTTATTTTTTTAAAAGAATATTTATTTTTTAGTTGTAGTTGGACACAATATCTTTATTTTATTTATTTATTGTTACATGGTACTGAGGATCGAACCCAGGGCCCCGCACGTACTAGGCAAGCACTCTACCACTGAGCCACAACCCCAGCCCTGAACTTATTTTTTATAATATGTACTGTTTCTCACCATAAAGAAATCAATGGCAACAAAAAAATTAAAATGGAAAATCTAGAATTTACAAAACCCTTCAGGAATTTTATGGTCCTTGTTCTAATTTGACCTCCAGTCTCTATGATTTGTTTTTATTTGGAGTACTATTTTATGTGAAGTACCCAGATATTACATGTTCAGCCCAATTAATTTTTATGTATGTGTACACTCATGAAGAATCAAGATACAGATGGAGAACAGGTTTATAACTCATAAATACTCTTTCCCAGACAGTATCTTTCCCTCTGCACCTGAAAGTAACCACTGTTCTAACTTTTTCCATCAAAATTTTGGTTTTGCCTGTTAACAGATTTTATACAAAAGGAATGATATGGTATGTATTCTTTTGAGGGCTTATTCTGCTCACTGTACTAACTCCTCTGAGATGTTAAATGGAAGCTACTTGGGACTTTGTGCTTTGCATTTATATCTCAACAGCTTTCTGATTTCTTTCTTTACCCTTTTGTTACTGAAGCTCTTGTAGAGCCCCTTCCTCCATTATGGGTGTATTGATGTTATCTCAGACATCTCTTTACTTCAAGTGAGAAGTCTTCATTTCTTAGAAAGTTATACTAGGACATTGTCATTTCACTGCTATGGTACTCTGATCACTACTTACAACCATTTTACTGTGGATGTTTCACAGGAAAATTAAGAAAAATAACCTTACTTCTGGTAGGAGTGTTTGCTTTGAAGATAAATATAAGTGTTATAGAGTAAACTGGTTTTAGGCCATGCAGGTGGGAAATGTTAAAACTGGTCTATATGACAGATTCTAAAACTCATACTCTTTTTCATACCAGTAGAAAGGATAAGTACAGTTCAAGTTGGCCTACTTTGCTACTTATTAACATTTATAATTGTGGTAAAATTAGAAGTAGAAATAATGGTGATAGTGAGACTAGACAATTAATTCTGGAGTTTTTGTTTTGTTTTGTTTTTATGCATAATAGTATAGATAATTGAGAGATTCTGAACCAAAAAGGAAATAAGGAAATGTGTTAGGATGGTGATAGATGAGTTTCTTTTTGGTTGATTGGTTGTGGGATTGCCTTTAGAGCCTCCCAGTGACTATGTCCAGAAAGCAAATAAATAAATGGTTTCAGTAGCTCAGAAAAGGTCTTCACTTAGATCTAAGTTTCAAGCAGTACATGTTCTTTAACATCTCTTTTTCCTGAAGATTTATGTTTTTTTTAAATAAGATGGTATAATTATGTGACCTACCAGGATCTTTTATATTTATAAGAGACATTATAACGTACAAGTTAAGGACAGCACTGGCTTTGAAACAACACAGGAGTGCATTTGAATTCTGTGAAGTTTTGGACATAAATCCTACATTAATTCTATTCAGTAAATAGTAGCTGCTACTATAAAAATCATCATCATTATTATTACCTATTTATTTCCCTAGTACTTTCAGGAAAAAATAAAAAATACTTTTCCTCTGCAGCTTATCCAAAACTTCTCTCTCTGGTCTACATAGTTCCTGCTAGTTAACTAATGATCTACATCCTGATCATTTCTTAGACAACTTAGACCTTTTCCTAAGACTTTGCCCTTTGTATATTTTCCTCAATGTCTATTTATTTGCCCTTAGTGGATACCTTTTTATTCTTCCTTTATTTTTTGTTCAGTGTTTAAAATGTGAATGCTGGTCCAGATCATTCCTAAAGCTAAGAGTTGTTTTCCTGATAGTTTAAAGATATTTCTTAGTAAAATAGGGTGATAATACTTATCTCATCATTTTGGGGGGTTAAATGACATACTGTGGCAAAGTATTCAGTGTAATCCTTGGTACACAGTAAACAATAAGGGTGGTGAGTGTTGCTGACACTTTTTTTAAGTTCTTTAAAAATTATGGAGATAGGTCTCAGAAGAATTTCATATATATATATATATATTTTTCCATTTTCTATATGACAACCTCAGTTTGGGATTTAAAGCCTTATAACATAACATCAGTTTCTTAAGATATCTTAACTTAGAGGCATTGCTTGTGATTAAGATCAAGTTGATATTACTGTTCCCTAGAAAAATGTATGTCTTACATGTGAAATTTCTAGTTCTTCAGCAAATCAAAGCGAAAATTAAAATAGCATCTTTTGCCTTTATGTATGTATATGTACATATATACATGCCTATGCATTTTAGGATTGGGAGTAGAAATTTATGTTTTTAATCTAAGTTTTTACTTCTAGTTTACTTAAGGAATATGTGTTGAGCATTTATTGTAGGTCACATACTATACTGAAGAATGAAGAAATAAAGAAGTATAAGTGATTTCAGTCTTTATGAACAAATAATATGCATAATATAATTATGTTTAGGATACTAAAAATCAAAGGAAAGAGTTGTCAATTCCACAATTTTTGGAGCATATATATTTTATCATTTAAACTGTAGAATAGTCTCTGTTTCATTATTTCTCTATGTAAAGTTTAAATTCTGGATTGACATTTTTGTTTTGGGAGCTTTTTAAAATATTAATTCAGTCTTATGATTTGTATTTTTATACTAAATTATAAGTTGTTCTTTTATTTACTTCCAGTAAAGAAAAAGTAGAAGCTGTATAACTTTCTTGCTGGTTTTCATCAACTATGAAAACTGAATGAATGGTATAATTTTATAGTCAACTAGGATCAATTTAGAATACCTACTTACTCTGCAGTTGCTATAAGAAATTTGTTCTTTGATAGAATGGCTTGTCATACACCCCTAAAAGCTTGGATAGACATACACAGGAGGTGAGAGGGACAGCCATGGTGAATGTATGTTCTAATGAGGAATGTGCTGGTAAGCTGATTATTTTTCTGGTATTCATCTGTTATATGCTTAGACTTTTTCTGACTTTGCTAACATTATTTCTGCCTATTTCTATCATATATTCTCCATGAGTCATCTATAATTTGAGACTAAATAATTTTAGTTGAATAGCACATTGGTTCTTTTCTTTGTATCATTTGCAATGCCAGGAGAGAAACACTCTGACTACTAAGAAAGTTATAGATTTTGAGAGACTTATTTCAGGTGGGGATTGTCTTATGGTTTTTTGTTTGTTTTTGCTTTGTTTTTGTAGTTACTGTTGTTGTCATTCTATTTTATTTTTGTTTGTTCTCCTAGGTTTTCCCAGAAACTTAAAGTCTGAAAGTAGCCTGGTCACATGTGTATAGTTGCCAGGCTAACTAACCTAATAAGAGTTGTGGTTCCTGTGGCTCTGTGTGAAAAACTCAGGGATCCATAATAAGAGATCTCATCTTTGACATTTTCTGAATGTACCCTAAGAGGTGGTCTTCCTCGTCAAAATGCCCACAGTACAAGGCACAAAAAAAAAAAATCAATTATATAATACTAATGGCGGTGTCATAATTAGTTCTTCTAGCAGCTCTACGGGTGTTATTTATTGGTAGTCAGATTGGTGCTGGGCAAGCCACAAAATCTAGACTTCAGTACACCACTTATTGTTGATCTTTAGCGCAATTCATAGGCAGTTATAAAATTCTACAGTTTTGCAAGATATTTTGGAAACATTGATTATTGTAATCTTGAAGTAAATGGAATCATTTTATTTAGGCCAACTACTGAGAGTTGTGTTCTAAGAGTCCATAAATTGATTACTTGAAATTTAAACTGTGTTTTCTTGGAGGAGCAGTGTATGCTATTTGGACAGTTTCCCAAGCCAATGAAAATAACCCTACTTAATGTCATAAATATTATCAAACTTTGAGTGTTAGGAATAGTCAGTCCTTGGTCCCAGGAAAGAAAAAAAAATAGGGGTTTTATCTTGTCTTTTCAAGGTCTAGGTCTGATCCCAGGCAGACTTTTGAAATAGCCTATGTTTTAGTCAGATTTTTCACTACTCTGACTGAAAGTCCAGACCAGAACAATTTTAGAAGAGAAAAAGTTTATTTGGGTGCTCACAGTTTCAGAGGTCTCAGTTCATAGATAGCTGGCTTCATTTCTCAGGATTTGAGGTGAGGCAGAACATCTTCCATCTTGAGGAGGAAGAGTGTGGCAAAGGGAAGTGACTCACACAATGATCAGGAAACAGAGAGACTCCACTTGCTAGATACAAAATACATAACCCAAAGTTATGCCCCCCAGGAACTACTTCCTCCAGCCATACTCTCTCTACCTGCCTTCACTCACTACTCAGTTAATCCCAACA